TGTAATTAGTATCACACATGTCTTTAATCTTGTCACCAGTCAGTCAGCCTATTTAAGTGGAGAAAATGGGTCACTCTGCTTTTTGGTTTCATTGTGTGAACCACACTGAACAAGAACCAGAGAAAGCAAAGGAAAGAGTTGTCTAAGGCAGCCCTTTTCAACCAGGGTGCTGTGACACACTGGTGTGCCAACTGGCCTCCATAAGGGTGCCTCAAATTTTGTGGTAGTGGGACTGTGACATGAAGGGGGGAATGAAGACTGACGTGAAGGGGACTCCATGCTTACTGTCTTCCAGAGCCACCCTTGAACAACAGCATTGTCAACTTGTGCAGAGGGTAGTGTTAAATGGACCAGTGGATTTAGATGGATTTCACATAAGTGACTAACAAATTAAAACCTAACTTTTAATGGACAGCTTGGTCTGTTAAAGGGAGTTGAAAAATAACAGACTTACTGGGAGGATTAACAAGTAATAAAACTATGTTACGGGGATAGGGACGGGGGGTGACTCAGAAACAAAGACTGCTGTGTTAACTGTGTTAGTGACAGACTGCATTACATAGGTCACATTTAAATTTGCTTTAACCACTTCCCGGCCGGCCGTTGTAAAAAAACGTCCGGCGGGAACTTCCTGGATCTGAGCGGGCGTCTTCAGACGTCCTGCCCCGCCCCCCGATCAGGCGCGCTCCCAGCGCGATCACGGCCCGGCAACTGTGCCCGCACTGTCCATTGGACAGTGCTGTTTCTATAACAAGGTATAGAGCCAGTAAAATCGGCTCTATACCTTGCGATCTAGCTGTGACAAATCACAGCTGTCACAATCGGGAGATCTGAGCGGGTGTCTTTAGACGTCCGCTTAGACACGCCCCCTCGCGCTCGCGAGCGGGAAATGCCCGATTTTTAAAAACAGGCAGCGATGCCTGTTAACATACAAGCGATCCGCCGGCTGCCGAGCCAGAGGATCGCTTGTATGGGGTAACGATCGGTGCCCCCCCTGCGCGGTCCCCCCCCTGCCGTTGTTCCGCTGATCTCTGGCTCTGCTGTGCCCGGTGTGAGCCCGGGATCAGCATGGCACCTGTGTCACAGGGGATCAGAGGGAGATCGTTACACGAGCTCCCTCCGGTCCCCTCTCCTCTGCAAGAATGCGGAAGTGTTGTATAATACATCACTTCCGCATTCTTGTGTCACTCTCCAGCTTCAGAAGCTGGAAAGAAGCTGATGGAGCAGATCTGTGCTTCATCAGCTTCTTTTGGGGGGTCCTAGGTGACATTAGGGGTCTTTGAGACCCCTGATGTGTCCATAAAGAGGACCTGTCACATATTTTGCTATCACATAGGGGGGTTTTATAGCAATAAAGTTTAGTGGGAAAAAAAAGGAAAAAATATTAAAGTTCTCCCCCCAAAAAAATGTTTAAGTTACACATAAAAAAGAATAAAAAAACAAAAACATTTTTAAAAGTCCCCACCCATACATACACGCATGTTTTCGCAGGTGCGTGCAATTTTAAAGCTTGACATGTTTGGTGTCTATTTACCCGACGTGACCCCGTCTTTTATATTTGACCAGTAAAATGGGTATTAATAAATGTTTCCTAACATAATGTAAAAAAACCCTTTTTTTCCCCTAAATTTTCAGTAATTTTTCCTAATTATAGTAAAAAATAAAACCCGTAGTGGTGATTAAATACCACCAAAAGAAAGCTCTATCTGTCCCCAAAAAATGGTATAAAATTAATTTCAGTACAGCGTTGCATGACGGAATAAATGTCAGTCAAAGTACCGCTGCGCTAAATACTGAAAAATGGCCTGGCCAGGAAGGGGGCATAAACACCTGGTCTTCAAGCAGTTAATGAAGAATGCAGGGATTCTCGAAGACAAACTACACTACAGCACATTTATGGCAAGGCTCTATTAAACTGCATTCCTGCAAAATAATATGTCTATTTAATTGCAGAAAATTATGAACAGACCCTATGGCCCCCCTCAGACCTTTGCAATCTGCTGCAATGCGTTATCACACACATGTTAACATGGTATTTCGCACATTAAAATGTCTTGCAGCAGCCTGGTACTTTGGAAAAAGCTGCCAATACACCTTACACTACATACTGACAGCCATAAAAAAGACATAATGCAGTGAGGGTGTGTTGCCTGCTACCGTAATTGTGCGTTGGGGTGCCACTTTGAATGAGTTGCACCACAACACACTGCACACAGTGCAGTGCATTAATACCATAACAGTAGTACAAAGCACATTTTGCATTTTACTGTGCATTGCTAAAATGAGGGCTTGAGGTTTTTATGAGGTTGGCCTTGATACTTGAATAACCTTCACTTTTGCACATCATAGTTCCTTGCCATAACTTGTATGGGTGTTCTATATCATATCTCCTAAACTGTCATATTTTGTAGGTGACATGGTCTGAAGTTATGAGAGCTAACAAGACTGAATCAGCCAGATGAGGTTGTGGAAAGTAGTTCTTTAGTTAGGTGATATCTAGTCTATACACCAGAAGATCTGGGTGCACATTTATACAGGCATACACTTGTTATTTTTGGATCACTGAGGAAGCGATGGTACATTTTGCTTCATAAAACAGCCCCTTAACGTTAGTGACAGTATTTAGAGTTTTCATTTTATTTGTTGTTCAATTATGGGAAGTGTAAATATTCAATCAGACTAAGTAGAAGTCATTTGACAGACACATATATGATATATGGCTGCAGAGTCTGCAGAATTTACTAAGCAAGTCTGATGTTTATTCTTGCATTTCAGCAGGACTAGAAACAGTGATGGTGTTCCTGGTTCAACAACAGCCAAAACGGTTATTCACATAATAGCTGAAGGAGCCAGCCATAGCTTCGGCTGATCTTTTTGCTTGCTTTGGCCGCCTGAGCCTTTCGGTTCAGTTGAACCGAAGGGCTGCTGTACGGCTATTCACAATAGCCTGTACAGCAGCCAAGCCGAACGCATATGCTTCAGCTCGGCTGAGCCGTAGTGACACCCGAAGCAGGGAAAATTTATCTTTAAGAGGTAGGTTCCTCAGGTAAGTGCAGGCACCTCTAGGCACCTTCACAATTGCAGCAGATTTTTCTATCATGGCAGAGTCTCTATAATTGTTTCAGTTGTTAAAATTAGTGCTCACTCCCAAAACTCTAACAGCAAGTAGTAATAAAGTAATTGTCAAAACAACTGTCACAGTAGCCTATTGCATACCCTTGCCAGATACCTTCTTCGTTATCCAATTTTAAATATATAAAAGTTCTGCCCACTTTTATTCTAATAATACTGTAACAAGCATAACATCTGAACATGATCCCATTACCTACACTTGGCAAATCCTTCAATACACAGAATTTCACAGCTCTACCCATCAACCTGACTCTGAAACTCCCATATGGCAAGAAACGCTGTATTTTCTTATTGGCCTTAGCACTGACTTGTTCTTACTCTTTGACATCAGATAAAAATGAGAAGAGGCACAGAGCAGCACACATTCCAATTAGTTCTAAAAAAAATGATGACCATTGTTAAAAAAAATGTTTAGCATCAATAATTTATTTGCTGAAATTGCCAAACAAATATTATACAGACGGCATAATTGATATACATGTCTTGGGTAATGACTTTGCATTCCCTGAATTCAGTGACTGAAAGAGTTACTTGCCAACATTATTCAAAATTAGATATAGTTTTTGTAAAGTCACATTCAATCTGCAACCAAAAAAAAGACAAGCTGAAATATAAATAATTCCTACACTTTTTGTGTTTTCCAAATTAGTGAAAGACAGTGTACAAATGTGTGTTGCCATGCAAATTCCAGAAATCCATTTATAATTAAGGATATTTTCATTGGTGTAAAAAAAGTGGATATTTGGCAAGCAAGGACAAACAGGGGCCAATTAAGCACACAAAGCATTGGACCTAATTACTAACAGCCCTTTATGGTTCCTTCAATTTGATGGTTTCTGAAAAAAATAAAATACTATGGGTCTCAGAAGTGTTTGGCATAAGACTCAAAAGTACAAAGTGGACACCAAGGTGAATTACACCCATCCACGTTTGGTGTGTAAAAAAATGTTAACATATTCATGACCTGAGCTACTCATAAATAGCAAATGGATTGAACCTAAATTCTTTTTCAGTGTCAGCCTGTGCATTAAAGTGGACCTGAACTCAAAGACTGGGGACTTTCTATCTTATAGGGAACATGTAGAATCTTTAATTGTGCCTAAGCAGTACACTGACACAATACCCTAATTTGCCTTTACTTTGTCTGCATTCCTCCTGAAAAATAGCAGAGCACTTCCTGTGCCCACAGTCTCTTAGCTGTGTATCGGCAGAGCGAGATCATCTAAGGCACTTTGCTTCTGACAGCTGGTATCGCAAGATTTAGAATGAGATTTGGTGATGCCACTACTGTGCTGCTCACTGTTCTCCTTGCTATATAGGAAGCTGTAACCAAGGAAGTGCAAAGATCACCCTGCTTTTGCTTCATACATTCTGTGGCTCTTTGCTTTATCCACCTTTCCAGATGCTTCTTGATTATTACTCCACCAGTCATTAGATCACCAGCCATCAGGAGGGGGAGCCCCAGATCTGAGATGAGGAAGCAAAGTTCGGTCTCCACTAAGATGGCCGCCTCAACATAAAGCCACAGAGTAGACAAGGCATGGTAAGTTCTTAATGGGGAAAGGATCAGATGCAGAAGGAGTACAGGCAATACTGCGGACTAGTGCTTTGCTCTCTGCCTGCCTTTTTTGGGCACAGTTTGCACAGTTCAGGTCATCTTTATATACATTTAAGCAAATGTGTTCCTATTTTAATGAGTTTACATCAAATGTGTTATAAATAACATATAACATTTACCTATCTATATTCAACGTTATTCTTTGGAATGCCAGCAAATTCTGATCTTTATTTTAATAATCAAATACATCAAATTCTTTATGTGTGCAAAATTACACTTTAATAATAAAATATAGACTCATTACTTTCCCTCTTGATATCAGGCCGTTAGTTTTTATCTTAACAGAGTGTATAATCATACTGTAGGTGAATGGGCACAGTGCAGGGGTTTAATGAAGTGCAGTGGTTGATGATTAGTCTCAATGTATGTTCCTTATTTTGTTCAATGCACAGCAGACATACAATTCAGCAGGCCTGAGAGTTCAAAGGTAAAGCGTATTTGTTGGTGTGACCCAGCACAACAGTAAAACAGACAGCACATATTTGTTCTTCTTCTGAATCAAATAGTTCCTTCAAGAGTCATCATACAAGGGATTGTTATAATTTCCCAAGGAGCCATAATCTGGGTCTTCCCGTAGTCTTCCATACGATCCACGCCTACAAAATAGAACATTTGCAAAGTTAGATGGGTTGAGAACATGCCAGACAATAACATGTAGCTAAATTCAGCTCTCCCAAAGTTTCCTATTATCTAGTGTGCTGTCATAGCTAAAGGGGCCAAAATATATGGCCATCATTTCTCAGGATGTTCTGAGTTTTGTGAAAGCCTTCACAACGCTCTCCAATGCCTTTTTTCAATACTTGCGTCTATACACACAAACAGTTACATACAGTAAGTGCCAGCTTCTAATGCAAGCTAAAGAGAAAGCTGGAAAGCTTGTAAAGTGCTTATTCAGCATTAACTGAACTATTTATTATGTATGATATCCCAGTAAACTCCAGGGAAAACTATATAGCAGGTGGTTGGCCATAAATCAATGTGCCAGAGTTGATACCAACAGTGGAGGAAAAGCCTTAACAAAAATATCAGTGTTCTGCAGACCCACCACTAGAGTCACCACTACACTATAAAATCACACTTCCCACTACCAGAACTCCTCTTCTTATAAAGTATGGTGGGGCTGCAGCAATAGAGCATCAAAGAGTTTTGCTCTGGCGTCAGGAAAGCTTTAAAAATGCTTAAAAAGAAAATGTCAATGCTATTCTAATTTTTGTATAAGGCAATGGTAACGTCCATAACGATGAGTCCTAACAGACCACATCAAATCCTTATAGGATCAAAACTCATAGATTTATTGCAAACTCATGTCAGTTTGCAATAAATCTACGAATTTTGATCCTATAAGGATTTGGTGTGCTGGTGACGTTTCTGCAATTATCTGTATTTGGCAGCGCCATCCACAGTCATTCCAAGCACCCCTCCCTGATCACAGGGTCATACCGGTAAAGAGTGCAACTAGCCTTTTCTTTTTTCTAACAGACCACATGCCCGGCCTCACTATGGTATCTAATATGTGAAAGAGTTTAAGATATGGCATGAGCATAGCCGCTTCACCTTCTCGCTATGTCCGAAATAAGCTGGTCTGAACATGGATGACTTCACTTTCCTGAATATGGAAAGCTATCAGCTATGCTTTGCTGGAGATGTGGCAAGTATATCAGGGAAAAAAAAAAAGCAGATGATATATGCTTTACTACACCAGCTTCCATTCAGTGTTAAAATATCAGCTTTGGATGGACAAGGCCTTCAGTTTTTATTTTATTTTTTATTATGACCTATCTAGATTATTTATTTCACTGATTATATTTAGTAAGCTTGTGTATTATCCGGGTGAAGATTTCCAGACATTAATGGACAATATTCCTTCACTTCCCTGTTTTAACATTGTAAATGTTTTGTATAGTTTAATTTTAAATGTGATCACACAAGATTCAGACAACTACCCAGGATTTACACATTATGCTAATTGAATAAGACTAGAAAAACATTTGAGTCCTGGATGAAAATTGTGTGAATCTTGGGTGATAAATTTTAAACAGACCCTTTAGTACTGGCTGCTCTAGGAATTAACTATCTCAATTAGTTGTCTATAGCAGGGTATCTGTATGATCTCTATTATTACTTTTTGAACAAGTAATAATATCTGTCACGTCAGGGAACCTAAGACCCAGGTGACGCCATTGGGCAAATATGGTCATATTCCGGGTACGTCAGGGAGGGACCCTGCGTCGCCCGGAAACAGTGGGTTTATGACATATTTGACACATTTATTTTGTGTGCTAGTGACTAATCTTACAACAGGATTTGGCGCCATGTAAATCTGAGGATTTACATGGCGCCATCCTTTATTGTCACTATGAGCAACACCTTATTTGAACTGGTCATAGCGCTCCATGGAGTGCAGGTGGTCCCTTTATCACTTCATAGGAAAAAAAAAATTACAGCTCCCTTGACAGGTTCTTAGACATTGAAGGTTCAGCAGTCCAATGTTTTCCCTTGCTATACACATGTTCACATTGTTAGGAGAAATATTTCAATGGGGACACCTGATCTGGTGACAAGTGTCTATGTGGGACTCCCCTCACTTTAAAATGGTTTTCTCCCATGTCCCGTTGTGTCTCAAGGACACAACGTTAAGTGAAACCTCCACAAGAGGACACAGGCAGAATTCTCTACTCTTATATAAAAAAAAAAAACCTTTGACTTTAGATATCCTTTGTAAATATTTGTAATGAATGCATCACTGGATTGAAATATTTTTTTATATATATTTGCCTAGAGTTCTGCTTCGAAAAGTGCATTTCTTCATGTTAACATCCGCAGATAACACTGTTGGCTTGCTTACAAAAAGTCAATTAATCCCTCTTTGTTTGACTGTGGATTCCATCCATGTACTCTGGCCTTTTGCTCATTTTGTAAATGTAATTATAAATGCAATATGCCACACTCACATTTCCAGATCACGAGGCTGTCTGTTGAGATGCCATACTGATTATCTGATGCAGTTGAAATGCTCACTACATAGTAATCAGAACAGGCAAGCTGAGGTTTTGCTTGTTATAGATAACATACAGCTATTCATAAACCATTTCACAGAGTAATATGCTTGGCCGGTCTGCAAGGATAAAAAGACTGACAGATACATTTTGTAGAAAACATATCATCCAGGACTGTGAAAGGTGAATATGTGCTTCTTGCATACCTACCCATCATCAGAGAGAGCACAGGGGAACGTGATTCACTAAATGATAAAATGTCATTTTTTCCAGATTTCAAAATATGAACTACTTGATAAGGAATTCTATAGTGCTTGTTAATGTGTTGTATTTTTATTTTGTGTCTTTCCTATATAACAGTAAAATGGACCAGTCTGGGGACGGAAAGATGTGTACCATTATTAAAACTTTTAATCTAAATAATAAACAGGATGTAATGTTATTTTAACTTTGGCTATAGACAAAGGAGGGTTCAACATGCAGACACAATTTGCAGAATAGTATTTTATTTTGAAAGATTCTTCCTTGGCACTCCAAGGTCTAAGGTTCAATTCTAAAAAAGAACACTATTGTCTTATACTGTCTTTGTATGAACCCTCCAGGTTTGCGGTCTGCCCACCAACTCTTCTAACATATAGGTAGGTTAAAGAAAAACTTTTTGTTCAAATTATTTTTGCATTTCGTTAAAATTATCTTTCCATTTCAATCTGCAGCCAATGTAATTTTCTAAAATTGTTCAAAGATTCAATGCAATATGGCAACCTGGGGGCATTCTGTACACCATTAGTATACGGAAGGGCCAAGAAATTTGATTTCCTGCTTCTGTGATTGGATTACGTATTTTCTCAGACATCAAGTTGCATTTTAGCTACCCCTGCAATAGAAATTAGATTTTTGGTAAAAGACTCCCAAATGCCTGTCTACTAAAGGGAAGCAGACACTACAGCTGTCCACGTTGTGATGATTATAATGAAGGCTAACCTTCCCATTCAGTTTGGAAAGCTCACAGTGAAATAAACAGCTATTTCTTGAGAACAGAGAAGGGTAGGAGTAGGAATCTGCAACAACGTGGGTTAAAATCCCTGCAAAGTACATTGTTCAGCCAGAGGGGATTGTTTTTTTCCTTAACAAAAGTGGAGTTATGATATCTATCCAAAGGCTTACCCCTACTGTGAGTGTAGGATTGTGCTAGGAATATTAGACAGTTCATTTAGGTACAGGGATGGATGCGAATGGTTCAAGAAGTGCTATATGAAGGAATAAATATATATAAACATATAAAGGGCTATTCATAGGGCTATTCACAAAAGAGTGAAGAGTTTGGAGAAGGCAGGAGAAGTGAACAATCTAGGACAACATAGCTGAACTGGAAAGAAAGCTGAATTGGAGAATTTTTCCAAATCAGCTATGTTGTCCTAGATTGTTCACTTCTCCTGCCTCCTTCGCCAAACTCTTCACCCTTTCTGTAAATAACACTGTTAAGGCTTGAGCAAGTATGCTTGTTAATACAGCCAATAAGATGACTATACAGATAGTCGCATATAACACCTTCTTATATTAAGAAAACTAGAACAATTGAAATTTTCCCTGAGATTGGTCAAGCAAAACTATTTAGAGCATTTTAAAGGCATCCATAGACACCGAGGATCATTGGCTGATAATGTATAGCATTTTATTTTTATAGATTTATTTGGACAGGTCATTAAAGGCTTAGACCCTCTGCAAGGTTTTTACTGCTGTCACTGTAGGGATATTTCCTAATCTCTTGACCAGTGTCACTGTGACTTGGCCCAATAGTGTCACCATAAGCAACAAGTCCAAACCCTTTCCCCATGTTTTTTTTTTATTGCTGTGTCCCCACATTTGCTCCCTGTATTACTCCAAAACAGGACATGAGGGGAAATCTCCCAAATTTGCACACAGAGAATGTCCCTTACAGAGGTTTTCATAGTCTATCCAAAGCTAAAAGAGTGTTTGGATCCCACTTTAATTACCATGTAGACATACAACTGTAGTTGTATGTTTTGGATAGCGCAGCAAAGCAGCAGCTACAGATCACAAGCTTTGCAGAATAGAAACTTCATCAAATGGAATGTCTGCTGACCGCAAGTTCGAGCCATATATTCAGTAGTAGTTTCATTTCCTTGGTGAGAGCTGACTCATTTCTGTTTCCAGCATAATAAACAGAAAATTCCTCTCTAATCTCTAGAGCAGTGGTGTCAGTCATATACACAGGGTCATTGATAGCAAGGAGTAGCAAGAAAGAATAAAAAAAAAAACTGTCTTGTTCTCTTCCTAATGATTAATGTTCCAGAGAAGTGAAAAAGCTTTCTTCATCGGCAAAAGAAAAGGTATGTATACATTCCTAAATACAGGCGCAGCATGAAAGTGCCCATATATAGCCATTGCATTAGGCAAAATACAACTTTTTTACATTAAATTATCTGAATGTGTGTTTTTGCTGTGTATTCTTGATGTCTCTAATGGGTGTATGATAACCACTAGATCCTTGGTTCTCAACTGGTGGGTCGTGACCCAAAAGTGGGTCGCGACCCCGTGTTCAGTGGGTCACCGTGTGCCTTCCACTTTTCTAGGTGAGAGGTTCTCAGCACTGTCAGTTCTCGCACCAAGCAGCTATTCAAATTATGCTGCCCGGTACAGAGTGTCTGCTTGGGGTGGGATATGGCTATGGCCATGAGGGAGCTCTGTACATATATACGTATGTACGTACGTACGTACAACTCCCTTGTGTGCCCTGTAGAGGTGCCTGGACCGGAGTGATGTAACATTCTAGCTCCTGGCACCTCTACAGGACACGCAAGGGAGCTGTACAAGCAATGCACATATGAATGGAGCTCTGTCACAGCACAGCAGCCCACACTTGACCCCAAGCTGCGGATCAACTCCAGTTTTCATAAGGTATGGAGATTGGGTGGATCTTTTAAATGGCATCCCTAATGCATCTCCACCCACAGTTCGATTGCCTGCACTGGAAGGAGCGGTACCGCAATGCTGTGTATTACATTGCAGTGTGACTTGGGCTGTGGCTTAATGACCAAGGACAAATGTGGGTCCTGAGGTTACACAGGTTGAGAATCACTGCACTAGATGATATGTGCAGCTATACAATGCACACACTATACAAACATGGCTACTATCCTTGAGATTGTGAAATTCAGGTTTTGTATCAAATGCCAAAAAGTTCAAATTAGTGAAAGGTGGTCCTAATTTGAGTTGAGTGAAGTAACCCAAACATAAAGAGCATTTGCAGGCAGCAAGGGAAAGCTTGTGACCTGAAAATACCACCGTCGAAAAAATGCAACTGTGCAACATCAGAAAAATCGTTGAGGTGCATTGTGTTAGGCAGATGCTTTCCAGGTGGTATTTTACTCCAGTTCGATTGCACCATATGTTTCCCTCGGTGACGCAGACCTGCTGGAGATGTCAAGTTGCTGAAGGTACATATTTGCATATGTGGTGGTCATGTCTTTTGATTAAGAGGTTCTGGGATGCGGTGTTAGCTGTGTACGATAGGGCACATTTCACGACCACACGAAACACTCCTGCCCTGACACTCCTGACACTGCTCCCCTCCCGGATTTCGAAAGCGAAGAAATCCCCCTTGCGGTTTTTCCTCTTTGCACCCAGACAGGTTATCGCAGGACACTGGAAGTCCACCCTGGTTCCCCCCGTGTCGGCATGGCTGACTTGCCTGAACGATACCATGCGTATGGAAGAAATGGTCGCCATTGATAACGACCGTATGGCATCCTTCCGAGACCTGTGGTTGCTCTGGATTTGCTTCCAGGACTCCGCTGCTTTTCCTGTGGTACTGACCTTGTTCTCATAGTTGGGGTGTTTCCTGTGGCTGTCACCTTACCCATTTTGTATGTGCTATGGTCTTATCGCCATTATATATGTCCTCAGAACCCCGATAGCTCGTTTACAGAACCCACAATTCCCACCCACCTCCCCTGTTGTCTATGTTGCGTTGTATCCCCTAGTGTTGTCTTGTACTACGTCTCATGGTTTGTCCCCCCCCCCCCACTTTCTGTTTATTGGAGCATACGACATGGTTTAGGGCCAACAGCGGTTGGAGTATGCCTTGTAGATGAGCCCAGCACATCTCCACGATTTTGCTAGATTAGGCCGAGCTTCATGCCCTACTGTGCCTGTATGCCTGTTATTCTCCTGTACACATGCATAATGTTTTGTTGTTTCTATGCAAAATTAATAAACTTGATTTGACTAAAACCGCTTTTGACCTAAAACAGCGACGATTCTGCGACCGAGCTCAGTGATGTGCGAACTTGGTACTCTATTGACTGTGGTCCCATTTACTGGACCATTTTTTTATTATTATATTATAATTTTTTATAATTATGTATAATTTATTATATTATAATTTTTTAATTTGTGTTTCAAACTTTATCATAGCTGGGATGTCTACTGGACTCTTGTTTGGACAGATTTAGGTGAGTTATTCCTAAAATTTACTAAGATTTAAAAAAACAAATTTCCATGAAAAACAATGTACCACTTTGGGATGCTAAAATCCTGATAATCATACTGCCAGGGAGGTTAAGAAGGAATTTCTGTTACGGCAGGCAATACCAGCATTTGATGTACTTACTTTTTCTTAGTGTTCTTATTAGTATACCACCTCTTATATGTAGGCACTGTTTAAATAAAAGCCTACATGGTTAATCACAAAAGGGTGAAGAGTTTGGAGACGTGAACAATCTAGGACAACATTTAAGAAGATTCTCCAATTCAGCTCACTTTCCAGTCCAGCTATTTTGTCCTAGATTGTTCACTTATACGTTCTCCAAACTCTTCACCCTTTTGTGAATAAAATGTTTGCATGTTCAAGTCACCAATTTTCATGAGGTGTACTTTTCACATGACTGTATTACACTACTCCTGCCTATTATGTTTACAGTGTTTTTAGTTTACAGGCTCATGTATGCAGAATAGCGAGTCAATCTTGTGTTCTTGACTATGGAAACAGAAAACAAAAGTTTTAATTCCCAGCCAGAATTCTAAACATAGCTAAAAGTACAAATTCCGCAGTCAGTATTCTAAATACAGCTAAAAATATTTATTTCCCAGACAGAATTCCAAAAAACAGCTAATAATAGTGGTGTCCCTTGTGATAACCAAAATAATAAGTGGTAACGGATTATGAGGAACTGTGATGAATGTGTGTGAACCCACTATCTAGTTCCAAAGGTTACAATGAAAACTTTCCTGTAAAGTATATATAAAACCATTTTTTCATCTTGAATAGAGAAGAGAACGATTTAAATTTCTGACAAATGTTTTTATGTGCCATTGTAGATATTTTCCTTTACATCCTGTCTCAAAACACAGCAGGAAGTGAGAGAGTAGTTAGGGGAATCCTCTCTCAGATAGTTCTCACTGGAACATGTGTCCCTATTGGAACACTTTCCCTCTATGCCTGTTCCAATACGTAATAAAAAAGCATTAGATGCACCTTAAGACAAACTAGCAAAAATATTCCCACTCCAGATATGGCAAAAATAACAAAGAATGCTAAAAAAAGTGAGCATTATGTGCTGGAGAGGAGCTTGGAGGGTATGGCAGTGCGCAGTATGTACAGAAGAGGAGTTTTGAAGGGTATGCCAGTAGGCAGTATGTACAGGCGACGAAGGGTATGACAGCAGTCAGTATGAGGACAAGAGTGTGTAGGGTATAACACTGGGCAGTATATGCAGGGGAGCAGTGCAGAAGGTATGGCAGGGGTAGGTAAGGGCAGGATGGGAGTGTGGATGGTATGACAGTGAGCAGAATGTGCAGGAGAGGAGTAGATAATATGATAGCGGGCACTGTGTGCAGGAGCAGAGTGTGGAGGGTATGGGAAGGGGGCAATATGTGTAGAGGTAAGCGGAGGGTATAACAGCAGGCAGTATGTGCAAAAGAGAAGTGTGGAGGATATGACAGCATGCAGTGAGTGCAGGAAAAAAGTGAGGAGGGTATGACAGCAGACAGTATGTGCAAAGAAGGAGTGCAGAGGGTATGATAGCAGGCAGTATGTACAGGAGAGGAGTGCAGAGGGAATCACGTCAGGCAGCATGTGCAAGAGAGAAGTGTGGAGGGTATGACGGGGCAGTATGTGCAGGAGAGAAGTGTGGAGGGTATGATGGGGGCAGTATGTACAGGAGAGAAGTGCAGAGGGAATGGCGTCAGGCAGCATGTGCATGAGAGAAGTGTGAAGGGTATGACGGCAGGCAGTATGTGCAGGAGAGGAGTGTGGAGGGTATGACGGGGGCAGTATGTACAGAAAAGGAGGAGTGCGGAGAGTATGACGGCAGGCAGTATGTGCAGGAGAGTAGTGTGGAGGGTAGGACAGCCGACAGTATGTGCAAAGAAGAAGTGCGGAGGTGTAGAGGAAAGTCTTAGGAGTTTAAAAAGACCTCAGGCCTGGAACAGCAGGCTGACTCTCTAGTTACAGAGTAGATTGTGCTGAATAAATCAGGTTAGAAACATCCCCTTGTAAATCTGAGTCATTTGGAAGTGGCTCAAGAACTGCAGTTCCAAGGGTAGACCGATGGAACTCTGAATCTGAGAGATTGTAACAGAGGCCTGGGGCGCAGCTGGATTTGGGGGCCCAGGAGCGTCAGAGACAGGCTCTGCTAGAGACGCCGCCAGAGAGTGTTTAGGGCCTCTGCGGGCAGAGTGCTCCAGTAACTCGGCACAAACAGACCAAAAATATCTATGGACATGGGGGAGACCTGAGTCCCAACCCGCTGGAGCTGAAGAAATCTTGACAACCCTATAATAATTGGGGTACTATGTGCTAGATTACAGGTGCCAGTATCTTGTGGAGCTACTGGGTAAATGCCCCCCAGAGCCAGTAAGTGTGGCTCCTGTAACAGTGGGACTGTACTCTGTGCATATTTTGAGAAGACATGCTGCACTGCATAGCAGAAAGCAACTAGGTCAAATGTGAAGCTTTGAGTACTCCCAAACCCAAGCAGAAAGTGCTGATAAAGTGACCAAGTCACTGTAGGTGGGCAGTGAAAAAAGACTGGAGGTCAGATGATCCACTTCAGGAGCAGCAGCGGGATGGAGCAGCTCCAGTAGAATGTCAGGAATGAATGCAATGAAAAGAGAGCTCTATCTACTCAAAAATGATATCAACATGATATAAAATGAATTTGGGTACAGTGTTGCATGACAGAGTAGTTCTCAGTCAAATCTTCCCAGCACTGAAAACTGGCCTGATGATGAAGGGGGTTTAACATGCCGGCACTGAAGTGGTTAGTTCAAGTTCAGGTACAATGAATAAGGCACCATTGATGTGAGTTCATTTTGCAATGTATTCAGAAAACCATTTTTTTTCAACAACTTGACTATAAATCACACTGTGGAACACTACTAGCTTCCGCTCTGAATCCGAGCGGACAAGACTAAATAATTCACAACTTTTCAACAGAACATTTTTAAAAGCACCCCCCAGAACACTGCATTTGCTTACCTAATTTTCCAGAACGCTGCTCCTCCAAATATTATTAATACAAGGACAATTACAATTACGGTGATTGCAGCCACACTTCCTGCAGAAAAAAAGAACACAAAGCTTAAAATATAATAAAGTTACTGAAAATATTATGCAATATAGTCAAAGTATCTCCAATGAAAAGCACGTGGATTTAGTAAACCCAGTAGCCTTATTCGTTGAGGCAAAGCACAATCATAATCTTGTGCTAAGTGCAATAATTCATGGCAGGTAATCAGAAAACATCTCTGGAATAAGTGGGTTTATTAACAGGAAAAAAAGATCTTGGGCTTGGTATGTACATCACAAGGTTAGCATCTGGATGCCAAGAGAAGGGGTCTGCAGTGTGTGGTGCTGTTTCCTTGTGTAAGGGTTACTACTACTACTACCGTACTAGTACTACTACAGCCCTTTGCCACTGATCCCTGTAGTAAATAAGGAGTCTACTGACACCTCAGAAATCGATTTTTTTTTTTTATATACACTACTCATCTGAACTACGATTTACAGCCTGCAAACATGGAATCTAGAACAGCATATTGTCTCCCGAGCACAAATGTATTTTCTGCTCCTCATACACTCAAGTGCTCTATGAGAGCATTTTCTCTAATATAACTGTATAGTATTCCGTTTTTGTGACGTTCCGGTGTGTTTTTTTTTCTTTTTAGCTTAAAATGGGCTTTCAGGTGCTGTCCGAAGCTTTCCAGTGCGTTTGCATGCATTTTTATGCATTTACATGCATTCCAGTGCGTTCCAGACCGGAGAAAATTAGACAAGCAGTATTTTTTTTTTCTCTGGACTGGACAGAGCCCAGAAATACATTGGGATGCTTTTTCGGTCCGGGAACAAATTGTTCTGGTCTGGACATGGTCCAAACAAGCCCCAAATACTAATCTCCAAGTTCCCCTTTTACCTTTTTAGAACTTGCAGGAAATAGGAGTACAGACTGACAGGTTATTTAGGCCATAAAACACTGGTCTTTAAGGAAGAACGCCAGGGAAAAGTGTTTTTAATCCGTGCAGGGCTACCCCTCGTTTTTGTCTAGGTGCTAAAAAAATAAAGTTATACTCACCCGAACTGCCAATCCAGCTACCTGCTTCTCCAGCCCCTGAAGCCTGTCCCTTCCTCCGCCATACCAATGGTATGTCCCTCGGCATCCTCATGTCCTATGCACTGTGTATAGGACATAATGACTAAAGGGACCTTAGACCACAGCAGTGGAGGGGGAGAGAGGCTCCAGAGAATGAGCAAGCCAGCTCAGAGGATTGGGTGAGTATAACACCTAGATGAAATCTAGCACTTAACCCTTGCAGTGTGGGGGTAGCCCCACTGCAAGGGCTAAGATCACTTTTGTCCAGAGTTCTGCTTTGAGGACTAAGTTCACCTTTTGGACCATGTTCCATCAATATTTAGGGTGTAACATGAAGCGTGATCACTTAAAGACCCCCACTCCCCTCCTGTCCCCCCATTTGCCTGAATCGCGGGGTTTACAGCGGCAGAGGGACTTGTAGTTCTCAAAAGAATACAACTGCAGTGACATCACTGCACTTGTCCTTTCATTCTTCCTCCCGTCATGTTGCTGACCTTGATACGGATATTTGGAGACATGGACAGGGGGAAGAGTGTGCAAGATCCAGAGCATTGCACCTGTGATCTACCGATCTTGGTTGCAATTCTTTACTGGCTCCAGTGCAATAAAAAAATAAAAAAAAATAATGCACATTTATTCTTTTATGAGGAAGTGTGCATTTATTATTGTTTCTCAAAAAGTGGACCTGTCACAAATCTGGTCGATTCAAACTGACCATATGATGAAAAATACATTTGTTGCACACCTAATGTCAAAACAATCAATAGATCTAGGGCTGAATGTGAAAACATTTAGTAGATCCGGGGATCCATATATTTAAATCTTTGATCTTTCCTGTTAATGTTGTGCTTGGTTCTGTCCCTTTCTACCTTTCAGGCCTTCCTACAGGTTTTTAAATGAGATGGAAGCCTACCTGACCAGCAGCAGAGTTCTGGTGGCAGAGACAAACTTGAACAAGATTTACATACAGGGTTATTCACAAAAGGGTGAAGAGTTTGGAGAAGGCAGGAGAAGTGAACAATCTAGGACAACATCACTCAACTGGAAAGTGAGCTGCATGGGAGAATTTTTCCAAATCAGCTATGTTGTCCTAGATTGTTCACTTCTCCTGCCTTCTCCAAACTCTTCACCCTTTTGTGAATAA